AATTGAATTGAATTGAATTGAATATGTAAATGAATTTCATTTTCAGTCAGATGTATAATAATGATAATATAATGATTATATAGTAAGTTTTGTTAACAAGCAAATCACAGGGCCTCTCAGGTAGACAGGAAAGAAAACTACTGGTCGATGGAGGCATACACCTGCATCAGGTCACCAGTCTATAAAATAATGAAATAACAGCTGATCAATAAGGTGGTGACAGAAGGAGACTGCCCTTTGACCCCACCCAAAGGTCAATAAGGGACAAACAAAAACTAAATTGGTGAATTATTGGTGAACAAACTGTGTACTAATGTAGACTCACTGTGTGGGTGGGGTCTCTTCGCCCAGTAGTAACCAACAGCCAGTGTCATTCCAGTTATCATTCCTGCTATGATCACAGACCCAGGAATTGTCAGACTTCCTGCTTTCAGAGTCATGCTTCCAACAGAGAAAATTATGTTTGTCCTAAAAAAAATTGAGCAAATGAATAAATGAATTCATTTCAGATTCACATTGCCACAAAGCATAAAAAAAAAAAAAAACATTTATAGATTTAAGATTTAGAGATTGTGGCAGCAGGCTATTATTCAGGCACAGAATAGTTTAATGTCAGCAACAAAATTGAAGTAAGTCAGTGTACTCACATCTCAATTGGCCTCATTATCCTGAGAAATGTTTCAGCAGCTTTTATTTTGTCTTGTCGAAACTGCCCTGAGCTTTTGTCCAACTGCTTATCAGTCTGTAGTCAGTGACATATCAGGTTTCATACTTTCATTTTCAGTTACACCTGCATTAACCCTTTAAACTACAAACCAGACTGTAATTGTTTAAGAGCCACCGGTTTAGCCACAGGCTAAGCAAGTAAAGCTTCAAAAACGACCTTTGAAAACTTTGTCATGACTTTTTTAAAAATAAATTTTCATTTGAACAGTTAATACCAGACAAAATTAATAGGGAACGAGTAAACTTAACTCCACCCATCAACCATATAAACCACACTATTACAATTCAGTCTTACCATGTCTGTAATGTTCTCTCTTATAACTTAGATACTTAGGCAAAACAACCCTTTTGGTTGAAAGTGAGGGGCGTAACATC